GGCATCCGCAATGGCACCTCTGGGTCAGAAAACGTGCGTCCTGCCCCAGATCACACAGTGGTGGGGCCTTTCCCTGCCTGGGCCCCTGGGGGCCAGTCAGCAATGCCATGTGGAGCCAACACAGGCAGGCGGCCCTGCCCTGTGCCCAGTCTGCCGATTCCAACACTGACCAGATGGCGTGACTTTCTGGCTAATGGTTAATGGGCCCCCGTTGTAACATCATGCTTCACGGGGCAAGGGGAGCCCAGCGGGGGCAGTGGTAGGTAAGCAAGCCTCACGCACAGGCCCACACCAGAGCCCAGCCATGCACACGCATGTCCACACATGCATGCCTGCAGACCCCCCATGCACAGCTGCGTGCAGACACAACAGACACAGAATGGTCACCTGTCACACGTGGACACGAGGAACATCAAAGCGGCAGGGCCAACACACTCTGGACACATGGGCCCAGCCGCCCACAGGCCCATCCAGACCCCAGGACGTGCGCACCAACACATGCACACATGACAAGGACATGTCATGGGGCATGCGTGAAGACATGCGCAGCCATGCCAGACACGCGCCCAGGCTGACAGACACACACAAACGCGGGGCCCCAGAACGTGTGCAGGGACACGCACAAACCACGGTGCCTGCACGCGCGTGGGCTAGACACACGCAGAGTCCCAAACGCCCCCAGAGCTCCAGTGCTGGCTCTGCTGAGCTTGACCTGTGCAGAGCCACGGGAGGCAGGGACCGGGTGCCCGCCTCCACATCCCCACGCCCACATGCACACTCACACGTCCACATCAGCAGGCTGGACCCCACGTGGCCCATCCCCGGCTGCGCGCCGCATGCGGACACTGCCCGCCAGGCACCACTCCCTCCAGCGGCCGCGTGTGTTATTAGAAAGCGTGGGGTGGGCTGGGCGCTTGGCAGCGCCACCGGGGTGGGGAGCGGGCGGCGGCAATGAGGCCAGGCTGTGGTGGCCGTGACCCCGCAGTGGTGACTGGGTGGCTGCGCAGGGGCCAGATAAGGTTCTTTCCGGCTGAGTCAGCGCGGCTCCTGGGGCTGGCACGGGTGGGGGCACAGTGCCAGGGCTGACAGGCGAGCACCCGCCCCGTGCCCGCCACGGACCAGCTGGCTCCGCGCCAGCAGCCACAGCAGTTTTGATGAGGCAGGCGCTGTCCCGTTGAGGACAGCCAGGATCCTGAGGGGCTCCCTGACATCCCTCCCCACCCCCGAGCACACGGCCCAGGGCTCTGGCACCCCAGGAAGACACCCGGCCGCCAGAGCTGGCCCATGGGACCCAGGGGCCTGGCCCCGGCCCGCTCTGTCTCAAGCTCACGAGACACACACCGCTGGGCTCGGCACGGTGGATGCCCTCTGAGCCCTGCTCTGGACACCCACTGCCCCAGAAAGTCCTCGTGCTCCCGCCTGGCCTTCAGGTCCTGTTGCAGCACAAGCCCCCTCTTCCTGCCTGAATCATGGACCCAGAAGTTCTTCCCGGCATCCCCCTCTCCCCACAGCTCCAGACCCTGTCAAGGTGCCCCTCTTTAGTTTGCCCCAATGCCGTGCCCACCTCTTCCCCTCCCGCTCCCACTTTATGTTCTGGCCACACTGTTCCAAGATACAGACCCTACCATTCTGGCCATCTGGCAGACTCTTACATACCCTACAAAGCCCCAGATCCAAAGCCCATTCCTCTGGACAACCTTCCCCTCAACCCCATTCCTCCAGCCCAGCCCTCGCCCCACAGGAGCACCTATGTCCAGCTCTGGCTCCCCCCAGCCTCCGTGGGCAGGATGAAGAAAACGGCCACCTCGTCCCAGAGCAATTCCTGCTCCCACAACCCCCATCCCACAGTGCTGCAAGCAACTCTCATGAGCCCAGACATGTCCACTGCGGTACTGCTTACAACAGGGAAACAGGAGAACAAACCAGGGTGTTCGTGTCGGCCCCACAGGACACTCTGTGCAGCCCCGGAAAGAACTCAGAGCTCAGAGATCTGATTGGACAGACGTACTGAGCAGAAACGTGGGAGCTCGCAGCTCTTACACACCTCCCCCTTGTGACTCCTGTGTGCCTCAGTCTCCCTGTCTGCACAACAGGATGCTTGCGGATCCCCCTGACCTTGCCGTGGGATCAAGTGAGGGTATGAGAGGCGTTCAATCTGCTGCCTACGCATCGTCAGGCGACAAACATCTGCTAGAATCGTCTACATCTCTGGGCTCCATACGAGTTACAAGGTGAATGGCTATCCCTTGGAAAGCAGGGGAATTAAAGCCACAGTGAGACACCAGGCCACTGCACCAGGGTGGCTGGCATCAAAATCACGGTCCCAAGAGCTGTCGGGCTCCTGGGCACTGCTGGGATCCTGAGCAATAGGGCAGCTGCCGTGGAAAGCAGTGCAGGGGTCCTCAGAGTTAAGCACAGAACTACCGTCTGACCCGGCACCCCACTCCTGCACAGGCAGCAGAGGAGACTGAAGACATGTCCATGCAAAACCATGCATGTGTGTCCATCCACACACGGAATACCATGCAGCCATGAGGAACAGAGGCCTGACGTATGCTGCACATGGAGGGACCCTAGCCACACAGTGCTCCCCCGGCTAACATGCTGGGCCTCAGCACTGGGACACCTGACTGCCTCAACCCCTTACTTTGGGCTAAGGTCCCACAGTGGCACTTTCTAGAACTCAGACACAGCCACGTCGATGACAGGAAGCCACCAGAATGCCACCAGGATGCCTCATCCAAGCCAAGAGGCTGAGATCCTAATTGCTGCCCATGGCCCATCCGACCCTTGGGCAGTGGCTCTGGCGCCTCCACCTGGGCGTGGCCCTGGCCCACAACTGCAAGGCTCCAGGTTTTCAAGGAAATACTCCGTGGCTGTGAGCCCAAGCTCCCAGCCCCACCCCCCAGCCTGGCCACCCCCAGCCCGTGGTCCGTGGCAGAATTTCACACTGTCAAGGGTTTGCAGGGGGAAGTCAGCCCTGGGCCCTGCCAAGACTGGGGAGGAAGAGGGAAGAGGCAGGGATGGTGCCAAGTAGGCGGATGGCCGGCTGGGCCGCCACGTGCCAGGAAGGCGGTGGGGCAGGCGCCAGAGTCAACACAGGCCCCGACGTCTGCTGGGCCAGCTGAGCCAGGCCACTGTTGACACTGGCTGTCCAGGTGCCTGGCCAGCTGGGAGGAGGGCAGCGCCAGCAGCTGGACCTGCCAAGTGGGCGGGAGTAAAATCCCTACCAACCCACAGACTCCCTCAGCCCTGCTGTCTCAGACTCTACTCCCATGCCCTGCAGGACCCGGCCAGCTCTGGCCTCCGCCTGGGAGCCAAGCTCGGCCTGCCTCAGGGCCTTTGCACAGCCTGCTGCCTCTGCCGGACATGCCATGCCCTGCGTGGGAGCCTGAGCACTCCTACAAGGCCGGACCCAGCGCGACGCCCCAAGAGTCTTCCCTGCCCCCTCAGCTAGGACTCCGGGCCAGCCTCAGTACCCCGCCGCTTCTACCCATTTCCTAGCCACCGGGCTTTCTCCACCCTGTGACCTAGGAGGTGCCCACTGGACATATGTCACTGGCTGTGTGACGCTGGGTGGCTAGCCTCAGTTTTTCCACCCATGACACAACCCTGGGCATCCCTGCCACATCACCATTGCATCTCAAACAAGAGGGACAATGGCTTCCTCAGCCCTTTGTTCCTGACATGCCAAGAGGGCTTTGGGTCAGGGACATCTGACCCCTCGTCCCTGTCGGTCCTGGCCACCCAAAAACGCCCCCTCCCATCAGCATTGGGCCCTGGGGGCTGGGCTGCTGGGCATGGGGTCCTGTTGACCTCTGACCCCACAAGGGCCACATGGCCTTGCCCCTTCCTCTGGGCCTGGCCATGACCCTTGAGGCTGAAGGGGTCTGTCCGGCTCCAGCCACCCCCAGCCTGGGCCTCCCAGAGAGCTGGTTGAGGGCAGGCAGCAAATTTTTAGTGAATACATGTGCTCAAGACCCTCTCCACAATGCCTGCCTGCAAAGTGGGCCATGGATCCGTCACAAAGCTCGGGCAGGGGAGAGCCTCTGGCAGAAGGGGCTGTGTGTGGGGCATGTCCCTCAGGCCCTTAGGCCCACCCAGCAGCCCCGAGGACGAGCAGGGGATCCTCCCTCCACTCCTGAAGCCCCCCGCCTGGGCCCCGGCCTCTGCCCTGACCAGGCCCCCTGCCTTTACTCATCGTGGCCCCTGGCCTGCTCCCCATTTCCAGTTTTTTACTTTATCTGTGATTTGTTGGCCCACCTGAACTCAAGCCCCCAAGGGGCCACTTCGGGCTGGGAGGTGAACCCCACTGCTCTGGGTCCCTAAGATGAGGCCCCCCCCTCAGGCCACTCCTGGAGGTGGTCTGGGCAGGGCCCAGCTGCCCCGGGCTGGAATGCGAGCCAGGCCAGCCGCCCTGGCCACCATCTGGCTTCCATCTGCCCAGCCCAGCAGGGCCTGACTTCAAAGGATCCCCCGCCTGGTCACTTCCTCTGCCTGGCCGCCCTGGGTAGGGGGGGGGGCACCAGGACTCGGCTTCCTCCCCGCCCTCCGGAGCCCCAGGGAGCTGCTGGCAGGCCACGCCACTGTGGCCACCCCTGGCTCAAGCCAAACACCACAGCCTCCACAAACCGGACTCCACATCAACTGACAAGACCTCTGACCTGCATCCCCAAGCCCCACCTCTGTGCCCGCTGGGCCTCACCCACAACCCAGAGCCTGGGTCAGCCTGCCCCTCTGCCCAGACACTCCCTTGTTCTCTCTGGCGCAGACACCACGGAGCCCCCACGCCTCCCCGCTGCCCTGGGTCCCTGAGCGTTTAGTGGCCAGCCTGCCCACCCCACCCACGGGACGCAGTCTTGGTTGTGGCGTCCACCGGAACACCAATGCCCTGCTCAGCACCAGGCGTGCACAGGTCGGGCCCTGGCTATCGCGGGCAGGTCGGCAGGACCCCAGCAGCACCCCCAGCCTTGGCGGCCCCGTCTCGGCGCACAGCCCACCTGCTTGAACTGCTCCTCATATGTCCAGTCCCCGTGGTCAGGCGGCTGCAGCGGGGGCGCCACGTGGGTGGCCCCTCCCGGGGGGGCTGGGACAGCCCCTGGGCGCTCCTGGCCACCCTGCGAGCGTGGCCCGTCGCTGCGGAAGGTCTGGAGCGGCTGCGCTTTGCGGGAGAAGAAGGCTGCGGGCCCCAGGCCCGCCGTGCCCGGGGGCCCCAGCCCCTCCTCGTCCTCGTAGTCCCCATCCTCCTCTTCGTCCTCTTCGTCCCCCAGCTCTTCGTCCAGCTCCTCCTCCTCCTCCCACTTCGGCTTCCTGGGGCAGGCAGGGGGCACAGGTCAGGGGAGAAGGGCCTGCTCTCCGTTAGGCCGGCCACTGCAGCAGCCCCCTCCCCATAAACCCCGGGCCCTGCCTGCCTGCTGACCCTGACTTCCACTCCCCTCCCCACACAGGCTTCCTTGTCAGGCCTTGAAAACACCGAGCCGGTTCCTGCCTCAGGGTCTTTGCATGCGCTGTTCCCTACACCAGATATTCTGTTCCCGGCTCCCCTCAACCGCCCTCCCTGGGGGCCTTTGCTCACCATTCTTGGAAGCTGACCCCAGCCCTAGCCACCCTTCTTGGGCAGCCCACAGTCACAACCACCACCTCCCTGCTGCTTCACTTGTTAAATATCTTCCCCATAAGACCCCACTGGGGTGTCGCCAGCTCAGGGCCAGCATGGGACCTGGGTGGACCATGTCTGTGAGCCAACCACTGTCCACTCCGTGCAGGCCCTGCCTGGGCCACGGGCGGCTCGTGCCACTTGAAATGAGATGCAATAAGGCTACAAACTCATGCCCGGCCGCAGTGGCCGCATCTCAAGGGCTCAACAGCCACTTGTGGTCACACACACACTGTGTGAAGTGGAAAACATGTCCACCGTCCCCCAGAAACTTCTAAGGAATGGCACGGCCCTTGGAGGCGAGAGCAGGAGAGCAGGTGTTCTGTTTTGCCTTTATGGCTGCACCCCAGGCCCTAGTGCTGCCCGGCACACAGCAAGTGCTTAATAAACTCTTGCTCACGTACAGCCCATGGACCCCAACTCACAGGCCGTCGTCGGAGCCCACATCCTCAAGGGGCCCGTCGCCTGGGGCGTGACCCGGTGCCTCCCTGCCCCGGCAGGTTGCGGGTGGCGAGCCCGGTGCCCCCTCCTCGGCCGTGTCCTCATCCTCAGAGCCTGGAGGCCCATCCTCAGAGCCGCTGGGGCTGGGGGCATGTCTGAGGCCCGCGGCAGCAGCCCGCATGGCAGCCAGTGCAGCCATCTGCGCCCTCTGCATCCGGGCACTCTCTCTGTCCTCGTCTGGAGTGGTCCTGGTGCGGGCCGGAGGGCCAGCTGGGGGCTCAGGAGGCGGTGGCTGTGGCTGCCGGGCCTCCAGCTCCTGGCGAGCCCGCTGCTGCCGCTGAAGGAGCGTCTCCATCACAGCCTGCAGTTTCATGGCCCTACGGGCCGGGCCGCCCCGGGCACCAGGCACAGGCGGCGGGGGCGGCCCCTGTGGGGAGGGGGCCCGGCCGCACTGCAGTGTGGGGGCTGCGGGGGAGCCGGGGCAGTGCAGGGTGGCGGGGGGCGGGGGCCGGGGCCGCCGGGCTCAGGCCAAGGGCTGGTGGAGCATGCCAGCGGCAGTGCTGGCAGGCGGGCGGCGCCTCCTCACACCGGGGGCCTGGGGGCAGCGGTTGACATCTGGCTCATTCACACGTTTGCAGAAACCTTGGGGGGCAAGACAGACCTTCAGACCACACCTCAGCTCCTTGGCCCCCGTTCTCCTCACTGAGCTTAGGCCGCAGAAGCATCTGGGAAAATCCCTCCCATGCATTCCCATCAGGGAGCAAACTGGGAGGCCTTCCTGGAGGCGGAGGAGCTCTCTTCTCCCCAACCACTCTGCCTGCCAGCGGGCTGGGAAACAGGGTCAGCCCGCACTGCACTCCAAGACACCTGAGGGTCTCTAGGCAGCCTCCACTCATCTGGCCCAGAGAACCTTGGATTATTGCTTCACAATGGGAGCAAGAGGGTGGGCGTCCCTGGCCTCTGATTGGCTACAGCTGGCTGCCAGGCACCAGCATGCAGGTGGGCTGTGGGTTCTGGTTCTGAATTCCAGGCGCGGCTCACTCCCATGCTGGTGCAGCAGGGCCCAAGGGGCTAGGGCATCTTTCCCGAGGCCAACAGAGCTAGTGATTCCAACTGAGAGTTTTCTGCATGTGGGCCCTGAGCTGACCCTTCCCCACTCAGGCCCTCATCATCTCTGGGCCTCAGTTTCCCCATCTGCAAAACAGTGCCCTAATAGCACGCACCTCTCTGTGCTCAGGCCAAGATGACAGTAAAGGCGGGTACGCAGCAAGCACCAAGTCGGTTAGGAACTGAGGCCCTGGAAGGCCCCCATTTTAGGGATGAGAAAACCCAGGGCCCCGAGGTGTCCTGGTGCAAGGCCATGGTTTGCAAAGGGTTGAACTGGGTCTGGATGATGTCAGAGCCTCCCACCCCGTCCTGCCAGGCTCTCTGTAGGGGAGTTCCCCTGCCCTTTGGGACCCCAAGCAGGGCCAGAGTCCGGATCCCAGCTTGGGGTCCCTGTGGACCACTGCCAACCTTAACTGCCAGGGGCCTCGGCTGGGTTTCAGGCAGGGACGTCCCCGAACCTGGCACAGCTGGGCCCACCAGGACAGGAGGACACGGTCACACCCCAGCCCCCCACCCAGGCCCGGGCCACACCCCCACCCGCCCAGGCCGCCCATAAAACAGCCCGGGCAGAACCCAACAAGCCCGGCGGTGACACTCCAGATGGCACATCATGGGGACAGTGGGGGTGGCAGGCTTCAGAAGGCCCCGCCAATAGCACAGATGAACCCCCAAAGCTTCCTAAGTGGCTCCTGGGTAGACCAGGCCCACATACTGGAGGGGAAGTGGGCAGAGGCTCCTGGCAGCTGGCCATCCTCCCAAACCCTCTGGTGACCCCACCCAGGGGGTGCAATGTAGGCCCCCGAGCCTCCTGTCAGGGAGGGCCCCCCCGGCAGAGCCACAGGGAGCCTGGCGGCCCGTGCCTTCCCCTCAGGCCAGCTGCCCTTTACCCAGACCCCCCAGGGCTTCCAGCTGGATGGGTAAAACGCAGTGGGGGGCCGGGGAGGCCCCTGTGGGAAAGCGGGGAGGTGCATGTCCCCAAAAGGACCTCGGTATCCAAGAGGGGCAGGGGTCCCAGGGCACAAAGACCCTCTCAGAGGCCACACTGCTGGACAGTGGCCACACAGCCTGTCCTTCCCAACAGCAAAATAGCACTTGGCCCACCACCCCCTGCCCCAGGGACTGGCGGTCACCCCCCACCGGCCCCAAGAAGTGCTGAGGGCACATTTCTCACCCACTGTCTAGTCTGGTCCACTGCCCCTCCCCCACCTTTGACAACTTCAAGAAGTCCCCCCTCCCCACGGAAACGCTCCAGGCAACGCCCCCCTTCTTTGGGGGGCAGAAGGAAGAGGCCAGAGGAAGCCACTCCCCCAGTTACCCCCCTCTCCCAGGCCTGCCGGGTTTAATGACCCTTCCGGGTCGCCGGGTGGGGGAGGGGAGCAGGGCAGTCTTTCACGTTGGGGAGGGAGAAAGGGGCAGGTAGGGACCCCAGGAACCCCCGGAGGTCGGGCCTGGGTCCCCACAGCCGCCATTAACCGTAGGTTGGCCACATGCACCCCCTGTAGACCCCTCCCTCTAAGGGCCCTTTGTCCTCGCCCCTACCCCACTTTATGACAACAACCGGGAGAAGCATTCCCAGGCAGGCACGGGGGTGGGTGGTGCTGGGTGGTCGTTGGGACCTGACTCGGGGGCGGGAGAGATGGGGCCACACCCTCCCCCATGCCTCCCGGAGAGAGGTCACCAGCTCGGCCGGGGCCTTGCAAAACACGGTTATTTAAAGAGTTGTGCAAGGCTGGGGCCCGCGGGTGGCGAAAGGGGCCCCTCACTTCACACAGGGGAGGGGCAGAGGGGCAGAAAGCTGGGGAGGGGGCCAGGGCACTCGGGAGGGGGCGGCCGGGAGGAAGTGAGAAGAGAAATACCGGAGAGGAGAGAAATAGGACGACAAAACCCCCAATCCGGATTCAAGGGCTTCTTGGAAAGCGGCCGATTTGCATGGGTAGTGGGGGGGCAACCCCTCCGGCCGGCGACTAAAAACGGAAGGTTCTTGACAAACCCGCCGCCCGCTTGGGCGCCGAGCGTTGGGATTGACCAACGCGGGCGACCCGCGCTTCCTGCGCCCGCTTTTGTGTCGGGGCCACGGGACGGGGGCTCTCCCCGGGGCTGCCCCCCGCCAAGGCGCGGGGACCGTGCCGTCCCCTCCGGGGCCCCTTCTGCCCCGGAGCCGACGCTTTATAAATAAACCATCCAGGCCTGGGAGGGTCGCGGGTAACTGCGCTCCCCATCCGGCGCTCCCACGCCCCTCGGGGGTCCGGAATGCAACAGCCGATTCCGGGGAGAAAAAATGAAATCAGAAGCCGAAGCGCAGCCCCCCGCGAGACCATTTCCTTCCGCTGAGGGTGGGGGGGAGCGCTCGAGACCCCGGCAGCCCCTGCGCAGCACGGTACGGGGGGAGGTCTCCAAAGGGGGGCGCAGAGAGAAGCGCGCTAAGTCCGACCCACTGGAGCCGCCCTCCCCGGCGTGGACGGCCACCCACATCCCTGCCCAACTTCGGGGATCCCCCCAGTGTGGCTTCGCGGGCGCGCTGCGCCCACCCGGAGCGGGGCCAGCGGCTGCAGAGGCCAGCCCGCGCCCGCTCACCGCGCGGGCCGGCTGGGGGTCGCCCCGCGCCCGCCCCGCGCGCCTGGCCTCCCGCCCGGCCGCGACCTGCGCGCCGCTGGCTCCGCGCCGCCGGTTTGCGCCGCGCGCCGACTCACCGCGCCGCCGGCCGCGTCCGCGTCTACACCCCCACCCGACCCGATTGGCAAAGTCTCCCCGCGCGGCCTCCCCGCCCGCCCCTCCCCCCGCCGCGCGCTCACCGCCCCGCAGACAAATCACCGGGTGACAAATCGCTCTCAGATGCAAATACCTCGCCGGTGATTCAGCGCCGCGGCCCAGGACGCGGGAGGGGTCTCGCGGGGCCCCCTCTCCCTGTCCGGATGCCCCCTTGTCCCCTGCACTCGGTCCGGCGACGCGCCGCCCGCCCAGGGGTGCTGGGGAGGGGGACAGAGTGGACGGAAAATTTCAGGCTGCGGCTCCTTTAAATGATAATAAATAATAAAAGGGAAGGGGAACCGCGGCGCGGGACGCCCCGCCCCCTGTCTAGGGACGGTGGGCAAAGTGCGCGCCGCGGCCCAGAGCGCACAGGGCGCCCGGGGCGCGGGCGGGGCAGGGAGCGCCCGAAGGGGAGGGGAGGGCGCTGGGCCTCCGCCCCAGCGGGCCGCGGGGATCCCCTGTCCGTATTACGGGGCGCCTGGGATGGGCCTACCGGGCTCGGAGTTTCACCCCTGCCCCATAGGCGCGGGTGACCTCCTCCCCTCTTCCTCCTCCCCCTCCCGGCGGAGCCCCGATGTCCACCTCCGAGAAATGGGGGTTGGAGAGACCCTATGCGGAGTCGCAGGGAGCCCCGGCCCCGACCCGGGCTGCGCGGCGGGGCGGGGTCCTAGGGAGGGCACGGCTGCCAGGGGGAGGGCGCGGCCCAGCAAAGCCGCGGTGTCGGGGTCGGACTGGGCCCCCGGGAAGGGAGAGCTCCCCGCGAAATCGTGACGACCCCTGCCCCGTGTCATTGCTCCCGTAAACCTGAACCCCTTCCACCCCGCAGGGGCAGAGACCAAACTATCTACTTGGTGAAAATAGTTTAATAGAAAGTTCCACAGCAAGGGCCCAGGCTCCAGCTCCAGTGGGGCTTGGGTCCCTGATTGGGGGATTCTGTGCGGGCCCCCTTCCCATCCCTGAGGCACAGAGCACTGCTGTCATTTCAGGGGCCTCTCCTGGCATAGCACACGGCCCCCAGATCGCAGGCCTGCTCCCTCCGGGGGATTCCCAAACCCGGGGGATGGGTACAGGGGTGCTGTCCCCACCCTGGGCAGGAGTCCTGCGTGCCCTTTGCAGGAACCCAGCCTTCCAGCCCCAGGGCTACGTGTAGCCTAAGAGCAGCAGGTGGCTGGAGCCCTTCACCCTTAGGCTGTTAACACCCAGCCCAGCTGCCTGCCACCGCCCCCCAAGGAAGGGCGGAGACACTGCCTGAGGACCGAGTTGCTGGGAGACCCAGGTGAGCTGGGAAGAGAAGCGGCCGGTAAAGAACCAGGCCCCAGGTCAGTCTCTAACCTGTAGGATAGCCTCCTCCCTAACAAGGAGCCAAAATCAGAGTGCACCCCCTGCCCCACCTGGGTGCACCCAAGAGTGCAACGTGGGCCTCTCTGTGCCTCAGTTTCCCCCATGTACAATGAGCCAATATTCATTCATTCCTCATACAGTAACTTTGAGGATTAGGTTTCCCTCTGCTCAAAGGGAAGAGGGCAGAGTGGGGGTAACCTGGAAGCACAGGAGGGCGCTGCCCCCACCCCATTTCCCAGAGGGAAGCTGTTATGCATACATAGCAGGATGCAACTTCCCCAGAGGTGCCTGGCCCTGGAGGGTGAGGGGCCACAGGATTCCCAGCTGCCAATGAGGGGGGTCCTATTTTTAGCCCAGGGAGGGAGCAGGGAATTGATACACAGACTAGCTGTCTCCACTGGTGGTGGGCGGCAGGCCCAGGTTCCAACTGGGTCCTCCGAGTGTGATTTTAGGTTAGTGCAGACCCCTCTCTGGTCCCCTTTTCTCAAGCTGGGAAAAGAGTACAGAGACCCCAGACCTATAAGGTATCCAGGCCAGACTATTTGTGGGGCCCCTGTGGGTTTTGCTCATCCCCCCCGAAATCCAGCCTGATCCTCACTCAGCCCCTCCGACAGCTACTCAGCCTGCTCTCCACTGAGTGGGGGGCAACCTCACAGGCTCACCAGATCCCAAACTGCCCACCTCCCCACATTTCCTCCTCAAACGGATTCCTGCCTCTGGGCCTTTGCACCTGCCGTTCCCCAGGCCTGCAGCAGCCTTCCCAGGCTGCCCCTGGCTGCTGACTCTGGACCCTCATCTCCTGGGAAGGCGTCTCCCTGAGCACCCAGGCTCAGCTGTGCCCCCACCACTCCATCTAGTCACCCTTCATCCAGGTGCTCCTAGTTCGAAACAGCTGTATTTAACCTTTGCTGCTTAGCATACAGTAGGTGCTCAATAAATGTTGGTTGGATGAATGAGTTCATGTGTTCCTCCCTCATCCCACAGGATTTTTGGTGTTTGTTTATAGGATGTGCGGGAACATTGAACAATTCACCATCTCTATCTCAAAAAAAAACAACAACAAAAAACAGCCCGGAGTGGGTGCTGGGCAGGAATCCCCAGTCCCGCACCTTCTGTGTGCTGTTTTCACCCACACCTGGCCTCCAGGTTACCTTGTCCCTGTGCCAGAGTCCGTGAAAATGTGATTTTTTTTTGGACAGGAGAAGATAAAATTTACGCAGGTAAGAGCAATCCACACAGATGTGAGATTCCCGAAAATGTAACTTACTTTTCGAATAAGAAGGAAAAAGGGAATATACTAATATGGAATATATAATAAGGAATCCAGCCTAAGTTATATTTGTCTTTATACCAACAGCTGTAAAATAAAGTTTTTTTTCCGGAAGGTCCCGACCAGGGAAATTTATCCCGAGCCTCTTGACCCATTTTGCCACCGGGGACCCGGGTTGGGGTACGCAGGACCGACAACATTTAGACGCTGGGGGGGTCCTTTGCGGGGTCGACGGAGGGAGAACAAGGAGCTTGCGCGGGTGGCGCGCGCCACCTTCTGGGCACCTGCGGGGCTTCGCCGGGGCGGGGCTTCGCCGGGGCGGGGCTTTGCCGGGGCGGGGCTTCGTCGGGGCGGAGCCGACGTCCCCGCGCCGTGGCTCCCGCAGACACCGCTAGGTGACGCAGTCTCACCTGGAAACGGGGCAGCCGGGGAAACTGAGGCCCGCGGAGAGATTTTCTCCTCCGTAGCTCCATTTGAACAGCGCACGGTAGAGTTGCTAAATAACACACAGGACTTGCAGTTAAATTTTAATTTCAGATAAATAACGAATAATTTAAAGTATCACCTTAATACTGCACGGGACATACTTACACTAAAAATGTTTTCATTGTTTCAGAAATTGAAATTAACCCCTCTCCTTACCCACCCAAATCCCCGCGGTTTATCCCCATGCCGTGGCCCTGGGGCCATCTCCTCTCCATTCCAGATTGGCTATATTGGCATATGCCCGATCCTGCCAGCCCAAAAGATAGAAGAAATAGATAGTAATTAAGCAATAAATTGAAAAATATCTCCACATACCTTGGACCATGTCCCTGCCTGCTTAGAAGCCTCCCATTGGCTCCCATCAGGCTACCTCAGGAAAGGACAACTCATTCCCCCTGTTTGAAAAGTTCCCCACTACCTGTCTGTGTCCACTTCTTCTCATCTCCCCACTTCACCCTCTTCCAGCCCAAAAGCCCCCCTAGCTATTCCTCAAATCCACCAGACGTACCCAGCCTCAGGGCCTTTGCACTGGCTGTGTCCCCCATCTGGCTTACTCTTACCCCATCTCCAAGCACAGTTCATATTTCTTCAACTCACCACCTCCAGGAGGCCTCACTCACCAACCTCAGGTTCTCTGTTACCACGGGCACATGTATTTCCTCCATAAGCCTTTTCACTGCTGTCACTTTGCATGTTGCCAACTAAACAGGGGCTCCAGAAAGGTGCGGGTGGGGGCCTTGCCGTCGCTGTGTCCCAGCCCTCTGCAGAGCCGGACAGACAGAAGGGGCTCTGTGAACAGTACCCAGCTGAACAGACATGGGGTAAATGAAGGGTTTTGATAGATGTCCTGGGTATCGACATAGTTCCTCCTCCTAGATGTCCCTTTCCAACCCTAAACTTCTTTTTAAAAATTTTTCCTTTGAGATAATCACAGATTCTAATGCAGCCCCATCATGAGGCTTCCTCTGAGAGTAACATGTTGCAAAACTCTAGTATGGAATTGCAATCAGGATATCTAATTGGCACAATCCACCCCTTATTTGGACTTCCCCGATTCAGGATGGAATGGGTACATCCACAGGCCCCTCACCCCGGCAGCCACTAACCTGTTCTCCATTCCCACAAGTTTCCCATCTCCAGGACATTCTATAGATGGAATCACCCATCATGGAACCTTGGGGACTGCGTCCTTACTCAGTAAATGTCCAGGAAAGAGAGCCACCAGCGTGTGGCATGTGCCACTGTTGAGCTGCACCTCATGGTGTGGATGGACCACAGTTTGCAGGACATCTGGGTTGGTTCCGGTATTTGACTTTCGCATCAAAGCTGCCATGAATGTATGCGTACATATGTGAGTGTGAATAGGTTTTCATCTCTTTGAGACAGAGGCCCAAGTGTTCTTTAACTTTTTAAATCTGTTTCTCATGCAGAAATCATGCCCCTCCCTCTGCCCACACCTCCTCCTGTAATCCCCACCACACACTTGGTTATTCATTCCACAAGTATTTGTTCAGCCCTACTGTGCACTGGGCCCTGGGGACCTGTTGGGGACCAAGTTAGACAGGCACCCAGCAGAGAACATCAGAGCTGTGATGGGGACAGCACTGGGCCCAGAAGAGGCGCCTGACCCAGCCTGGAGGGGTCTGGGAGGGCTTCCAGAGCAGGGGGCAGCTGATCTGCGATTTGTTGTACACTGGGAAAAACAGAACAATGCATGTTCAAGGGCCCAGAGGCCAGCGGGATGGCAGAAGTTCAAGAAGCCACAGAGAGACTGTGAGTTTGCAGTGAGGAGGGGGCAGGCGGGAGGTGGGCAGGGCCTGTGGGCAAAGGGGAGACTTTAACCCTCATGTCCAGCCCAGTATGGGACTGAGAAATGAGCAGCCTGCATGGATATGGGTGAGGCTGCACCGCCCTGGACCCCTGGCAGGCACTTGTAGGGGTGTTCGACCAGCCAAGAGAGCAGGGAGACCCCCCTGGCACAGCTGCTAGGCAAGTCACTTTGGCCAATGCCACATGGGTCAAAGGGACCCTCTGGCTGAGCACAGTCACCCCCTAGAATCATAATAGCAGCAAACTCATGCTGTTCTAGGACTCCGTTTTTTTTGGGGGGGTATTGGGGTCTTTACGTTCTTATATATATGCAACAGTAATGTTATGCAGCAGAATAACAGTATTATGACTCCTTTTGGGTTCCCAGACCTGATTCCAATGTGTGTATGTGTGTGGGGGGAGGTTTTCCCCCACACTAAACACCAAGCAATTCTCACACACCAGCAGCGTGTCGGAGAACTGAACTTGGTTCTGATGCTGTCTGCCCAGAGGCGCCCCAGATCCCCAGGTTAAGGACTCTGTCCTATAAGACCGCCTTCTCCCCTCAACTCCAGATGCCAGTCACAAGCCCCAGGCAGTTAGTTCCCTGTGCCTACAGATTGGAGGCTCCTACAACCTCCCCCTTAGGTTCGATTAATGTGCTAGAGCGGCTCATGGAACTCACACAGGGCGAGGTCCCAAGTAAAGGAGCTTCTGTCTTCGTGGAGCTGGGGGCCTGGCTCTGGGCACGTGGAGGCGTTCTGGCTCCCCAAGCGTAGAGCTCTCTCCGAAAAAGAAGCAGGATCCAGGAGAAGTCTAAGCTCTTCTCAGGGGTTTTGTGAGGCCTTCATTGCACAGTCATGACTGACTAAATTATTGGCCACTGGCTGATTCAACCTCCAGCCCCTGCCCTTGGGTCGAGGTCCAAAGTCTCTCATTAACATGACAAGACACCTGTTTCAGCTTTAAGACTCTGCAGTGTTTTCAGGAACTGTGGATGAAGACAGAATATACCTGGGAAATACGTATTTAGTCACAGGAATGACCACATATGTGTCTCTTGTGACTCCTTATGTTGCAGGGGGCTTGCTTCTGCTGAGGACAGCTCTGTGGCTCTACAGAGGACGCACCTATTCTGTGACATCCACGATCTTTCCAGCCAGGACTCTGGGCACTTACCCGGTGGCGAGCATAAACCTTATTTCACCAATTTTAAGATGCACACTGTGTTCACAGGTTAATTATGTCTGAAAACGGGATGAATCTGAACAATGCTACCGTCCATCACGAGGCCCTATGTGAAAACTTTTATTGCTGCTTTCCACAAAGTTCCAGAGTGCCAGCCTCAAAGCATCTTAAATTTTGGGAAATACAGAAATAATCATTACAATGTCAGTAGCAGTGGACATCAAAGCAAATTTGTACCAGACATTGTAAGAGGAAAACACATTTTCACTATGATTATCTTGGACAAAAGAAAGAAATCAGCCACAATAACAGCAGTGGCTGTCCAAGCAGCTCCTGTGCCAGAGGGACCCTTCTGGACCCCCCAGACTCTGCTCAGAGAGGGCAGGCGAGTTCCCTCGGGACACACAGCCTGCGCGCCGCAGCGCCACTGCTCCCGAGTCTGGGCGTCCTGGTCGGGACCGGGCGGGCTGCCAGGCGGAGCAGCTCCGCGTGGGAGGCGGCGGGGCCCGAGGGTCCAGCACGGCCGGGCAGGCGGCGGGGTTCCCCGAGAGCGCACGGACAGACGCGGCGGAAGGCCTGACGGAAATTCGAGCCCAGGAACGCGTAGAGCAGCGGGTTCAGTGCGGAGTTGCTGTAGGACATGCAGTGCGCCCAGATCTTGAGCGCGTAAGCGGCGTAGCTGCGCGGATGCCAGGCGCCCGCCGGGCCCAGCGCCTGCAGCACCAGGAACAGCTGGATGGGGCCCCAGCAGGCGGCGAAGAGCAACACCACGGCCGCCACCAGCCGCGAGACTCTGGCCCGCACCGCGCCCGCTCGCTCGGCCAGCAACTGTCCCTGGGGGAAGCGGGAGGGCAGTGGTCGGCGGAAAGGTTCTGGGCCGCCGGGAAAACCCCTCGGTGCCCCCGCTGCGCCCCCGTCCCCCGGCACTCCTCCAGATGCGCGGTGTACCTCCCCTCGCCGCGTAGCCGCGCACCTGCCGGGCGCTGTCCGCGGGCCCAGGGCGCACGGCAGCGCGGCCCAAGTGGCGCAGCATGGCCCCGTAGCAGACACAGGTGGCGACCAGCGGCAGCAGGTAGAGTGCCAGCAGGTTGTAGAGGGCGAACGCGCGCTCCAGGGCGCGGCTGGGAAAGGCCTCGCTGCAGTAGGTGCGCGGCCCCGGCGTGAGACGGTGTAGGACCAACACCGGTGCCGACACGGTCGCCGAGCCTGCAGAACGGGCTGGGCTGAGGACCTTGCCCGGTGGACCAGGGGACAGGGGGCCTGAGCCCTGGTCTCCCCAGATGCTTCCCCGGGCAGCGGACACTGAGCGCTTCCTAGGTGCGGGTAGCCCGCTGCGTGAGCTCAGCCACTCCCTGCAGACATAGCTATTGTACTCATTTCCCAGACGCACTCACTACCCAGACCTGGAGGGCAGGGAGTGTGGGCAGGTCACAATGATTTGTCCTCCCTGCAACCTGTGCGGCCCCCCGCGCTGCACTCACCCACCCAGATGCTGAGGCTGATGGCCAGCGCCAGGCGGGGTGTGCGGCGGTGCAGGGCGCGCAGCGGAAACACCGTCACGTACCAGCGGTCCACGCTCATGGCAGTCAGGGTGGCACACGTGGCCTGCACCGAGACCTGGGAGGGCCGGGAGAGGGGGGTGTGGCCCCCTGCCGGGTCTGGGTCCTGTCCTGTCTGAGCCCACCCTGCAGGTCCCCCAGCATGTCCAACCACTCAGTCATGCACGGGAAGTGTCCTTTGGAGGTTCTCCGGGGGCCACAAGTTGGAAGGGCAGGAGATGCGATACCAAAAGGAAGCCCAGAACGATGGGGTTTGAGGGGACCATTGGGAATCCGCTGAGACCCCATGACAGCCAGAGGCAGAGTCATCCTAGGACCACGGGACAGAAGGGGCAAGAAGACGCAGGCCCGCATCGCTGTCCCTTTGCCAACCCGGTGACAACGAGCCCCACTCCATATCCCTCCGCATGGGCCGAATATTCCTCCCGCCCCGGGTTCCTCTCCCCTCTGCGGGTGCTCAGCCCCACGCCCAGCCCGCCCACACCCACACTCCTCCCCTGACTCCCCTGCCCCTTTCCCTGCCCGCGCACCTGCTGAATGTAGTTCACGAACTTGCACATGAAGTCTCCCAGCACCCAGGCGGGCAGCGGGTAGAGCAGGGCCGTGAAGGGCACGCAGCACAGCAGGAAGGTCACGTCTGTGGCCGCCAGGTTGGCTGCAGGCGGAAGATCGTGGGCTCTGGTTGCGGGTGGGGGGCGCACCGGCCGCAGCCACATAGCGCCCCCGGCCCTTGCCTTCGTCCAAGTGACCAGCAGGATTGCTCGGGAAGGCCTCCGACATCCTCGGCCAGAGAAAATGGGGCACCCTTTTACATTCAAACATCCTTTCCGCAAGGGCCTCGTAGCCAAAGTCTGTGGGCCCCTGCTCACCCCTGTACGGCTGGCAGAACCGGAGCACGCCCCTTCTTTCTGAGCTTCAGTCGTTTTGTCTGCAGCTGGAAACAGTGGCGCTAGCCCACCAGCCACCAGAATCCGGAACACCGAGCGCTCACCTGCTCCGGGTGGGCCACTCATCACGCTGGTGTGCAAACCAGGCCACTGGGGCAGAGGTCGAAAACTGGGAACCCGCGGGCCCAGCAGCCCCAACCCCTACTCCTTCCGTTCATCGGACACCGTGTTATGAGAACCACGTTTTAATCAGACACCTTCCTTAAGGGGACTGGCCGAGCTTTCCAGCCCCTCTGTTGACTGCCCCGGCCCGCCTTGCGCCCTCCAACGACGGAGTGTGCGGGCTCTACCCTAAGGCACAGGGACAGAGGGCTTCGCCGCCCTCTCTTCCCGGCCGCCCTCCAGGTTTGTGCCCCGCGATCGCGGCGGGGATCCTCCTCTCCGGGGCCTGCAGGGGAGACATCCCCACCCCGGAAAGGCCCGGCCCCGCCGCCTCTCGGGTGCCCCCCCACCCCCCGGAGGCGCTCACCTATGTAAAAGTTGGTGACCGTCCGCATCTGCTTGTGACGGCAGACGACGAAGATGACCAGTGAGTTCCCGGCCAGGCCGAGCAGCATCAGCGCGGCGAAGAACAGCGGCACCAGCCAGGCGTCCACTGGCCGCGGCGCAGGGGCCTGGTCGTCCGAGGCGTTGGACGGCGCCCACCAGGACGCATTGGGCGCGGACGTGGACACCGCGGGCATGGCTTCGCCGCCCTCTCTTCCCGGCCGCCCTCCAGGTTTGCGCCCCGCGATCGCCGCGGGGATCCTCCTCTCCGCCTCCCGCCTCTGCTCCCGCCGCAGCTGCTGCGCATTTATGCCCGCGCCCCCGTTATCCCCGCCTTCCCGCCTCGCCTGCCGCCGCTCGCCACTCCCTCTGCCTGCGCGCCCCGCATTCACCCGCCACTGCAACCTTATCTCCCGGTTCCTCCGCCCCCTGCCCCGTCCGGGCGGGAGCACACGAGGGCGGGGTGAGGGGGCTGGGGGCGGAGCGGGCAGGGGTAGTTTGCGTGGAGGCGCTGTGGACCCTGCGCGGGTACAGGCTTCCAGGCAGGACAAGGCATGGGGACAGGGAATGTGGCTCGTTAGCCGCAATGGCTTTGACCTTCCAAATCGCTGGGGCTCCACGTGGGTGGACCCAGGCTGGCGGTGAGGCCCTGGACATTACTGCCAGGGTTTGTCCCAGGACACTGGGGAGCCATGGAAGGTTCAGGGCAGGGGAGGGACGTTCAGGATGTGGTCATCAGAAGATGCCTGTTCTTTAAAGAACTCAACTTCCCTGGGACTCTGAGTGAGGCAAATTAGACTTCCAGGGAATGTCTGCTTCCCACCTAACAGGCTTGCCCGCAATGGGAGGGGGGTGAGCCCTGTGCCACTGGTGGCTGGAACCGGGTGGGGCGCAGTTTACAGAGGCCACTGTTGATCCCAACAAACCCACACCCAGAAATGTACCCCAGAACTAACCCACGAGGCAGGCTGCAGCGCACCAGGATGTTAAGGCCATGACAGAGTACCATGCAGCCAAGAAAAAGACGTCACCCTTTGTGTAAATAAGACCAAAAGATTCAGGGAGAGATGGATAAATATGCAATCGCATCAAAGTGCATCACATGTCTCCAGAAGGAAGTACAAAGAGCCTGGGAGAGGGGGAACATTTATCTGTTTGCCTTTTTAAACCTTCAAAATGATTCTTGACAATGGCCTAGACATCAGAAAAGAAAGAGAATTCCCTTTGGGGTGGTCGTGAGGGACTGGTTAGTGGAGGAGACCTGAGATCGCTAGGTGGGGGTGGAGGGACTGTCTGGGGGAAGTTGCCTAGTCTAATAGGCCCAGGGGAGACAGCAGGTGATGGGACCTTTGAAGAGGGGACTCCGTTGGGGGGGAGCGGTGGAAGTTCACAGGCAGGCCAAAGGCCCAAGAGGGTAAGAGAGGGTGGGCAGATTCCGTGGGAGGCCCAGGCTGTGTCCTGCAGAATTAGCTTGTTTATTGAGCAGCTGCAGGACCGCAGCCCCTCCCAGCCCCCAGGGTCCCCCCCACCCCAGCCAGTCACTGCCCCCAGGGATACCTTCCCTCTCGACCTGTTGTCACCACTGACTTCCTCTGCCTCTTTGTATATTTAGCTGCACAAAATCACAATCACACAGCGTGTGTTCTCTGCCTTTTCTCCTCCTGTCCCCGCCCCCCCGCCCATGCCCCGCCCCTTACTCTTCCAACCGAGCGGGTCATTTGTCCTGTACAGTCCCACCAGGCTGGATGTGGGGGGGCCGCATGCCCAGGCGTCCTTTAACGCCGTCCGGGCTCCGTACTTCCCTCGTAGACTGAAGGGTGGATTCTCGATTCTACGGTAAGTTTATTTCTGTGCTCTAAATCCTGCACGGCTCCCAAGGCCTGGGAACAAAAGGCAGATCTTGGACGGTCCCTTCCCGTCCCCCCCACCCCCTTCCCCCGGCACCTCCCGGGGCACCGTGCTCTGGTCACTCTGGGCACCCCCCGGCGCACCCTTCCCACTTTTGAAGTTTGCCAGCCCCTCTCCCGGAGGTGGTCTCTTCCCTCCCCCACTGGGTGCGGAAGGGGTCTGTCCTGGTCACCGCTGGGTCCCCAGAGCCCAGATGGCATTTGTTAAATAAACCCTAAAAGGCAGGAGGGGATGGGGGCTGACATTGCCCCGCTTGTAGAGATGAGTAAGTAAACCGAGGCACCCATCCCGCGCCCCAGGGGCAGCACTTGAGCAGAAGGGCTGGGAGCCGGCAGGTGGGAGGAAAGGCCCCTGGGGCGGGGCGGGCTCTATGGGCCATTGACTGTCCCCTGTCTCTGAAAAGGGCGCCGCCCTCCTTCCTTGCTACCCTCCGGGGCTAGATGCCCGCCCCACCCGCAGCCCTGCTTCAGGTCAGGGGCAGGGGCCAGCCTCCCCCTGCCTCAGCCTCCCCGCCCGTCCCGGGACTGGGCGTCCCACGCAGCCCGAGATCCGCGGGTACCGCGGCCGCCCCCTCCGCGCGCCCGGGCTCCAGGCCCCGCCCCGGCCCGGCCCCGAGCGCCCGTCACTTCCTGCCCGGCCCCGAGACGGGCCTGCCGGGCGGCGGCGGCGGCGCTGCAGCGCGTGAGCCATGGTCGCTCTGGAGGACCCGGAGTGCGGCTCGGAGGCGGCGGCGGCGGCGGCGGGAGCCCCGGGCGGGCGACGGACGCTGTGAGCGCGGCGGGGCGGGCGGGCGCGCCCCGGGCCCCTTCCCCTGCGCCGCGGCCCCGCGGAGCCCCGGGTCCGCCCCGCCCCTCTTCTCGGGGACCCCCGGGCGCGGTGGGGGCCGGGGTGGGATGGGGGCCCTGGCCCGTGCCGGGGCGGGGGGCGCGCCCCGTAGATGCGCACACGCCCCCGGGCCGCGCCGCCCCCGGGCCCCTGCGGGGACCCGCCTGGGGGTCCCGGGCGCCTGGTCGCCGGCGCCGCCGCGCGCGGTGTGCCCGGAAGCCGCGCTGGGTTGCTCTGGGTTTGTACCCACGGGCGGCTTTCCCGTCCTCCTCAGGCTGGGCGTCCACCCCACACCGGCCCCGAGCCCTCCCGAAGGGGGGTGGGCACCCCACCTCCAGGGCACCCCGGGTTCTTTGTTCATCTCCGGGTACAGACCCAGGTCAAAGGCGGCTTGACCCGGGCCGACCCGAGCGGAAGCAGAGCGGGCGACCCCTATGGGTAGGGACCCTCCCCCTGCAACCCAGATTTCTTTTCAACGGGGTGTTTACGCAGAACCCCGTGCAGTCCACCCCGCGCTCCTGGCCTTGGGGGGCGAGGAGTCAGCTGCGCGGGGTCCACTTGTGCCTCCTCCCCCGCGCGGCCGGGTCAGGTTATTCCGTACCCCCCGTGCCTCAGTTTACCCATCTGTAAAATGAGATCACGGCCTCGGTCTCTTCTCAGTGGCGGGCTGGTTGGTCAATGACCCTGCCGTCAGGGTGCTCAGCAAAGGGGAGCACTCATTATTTAATTATTATCTTAAGCATCTTCTTATGTTAGTTGCCTTATTATTTAAATATTATCCTTTTGTTCTTTTTATTATTTCATTATCAGTTTACTGTATTTATGATTATGTTAATATCCCCACCTGGGTATTTTGCCAGAGGCCACAAGGGTCTACAGATGTGGGTATTTATCTTCTTTTAAGGGGCCTTAACCGCCCGACGTGGGTGTTTACCTGTCAGGGGGTAAACAGTCCCTCGGACAGGCCCCAGCCCCTTCGCGTTCTGGGGGCGTGGCCACTGCTGGGAGCCCTGAGTCACCTCCGCCCGGAGCCCTCCCTGGTTTCCTGCTCTGAGAACTAGGTTCCTCTCTTGCCTGTCCTGGGGGAGGGGGCCGGGGCCAGAGAAGGTGCATTTTTATCCCGGGGAAGTGGGTGTCAAAAGGCGTCATTTGAAAGCCCACAAGGGAACAGAGTTGGGGGAACCCAGGGGCCTGTTTCCTGACACCCCAACCCAAACCGACGTAGCAGCCTTTTCCACGTGGGGCCTGTCCACCTTCACTGAACACTGGTGCCTCCCACAGTGCAGACACGACCCGAGGTCTGCTGGGTCTGGGGAGCCTTAGGGGCCCCATCTGGATCCTCAGTTTCCCCATCTGTAGAGGAGTCTCCTTGGGTGGCACGGGCAGCAAATGAACTGGCCCTCTGGTGAGTGTAAATAGAAGTTTAGGTATTCATTCAACAAACAGCTACTGAGCACCACTGTCAGCCAGGCACTGGGACACAGGGACCCAGACACCCCATTCTGTTTGTATGGGCTAGCGAGGGAGGCGAGATCAAGGAATAAACAGGAATGTGAACCAGCTGCTTTCTGACACCAGCGATGAAACAGGCGAGAGGAGGGTGGTTTCTCAGAGAGATGATGTTTGAGTCAAGAAAGTATGCAGCAGGCAGCAGGTTTAATGTGTGCAAAGGCCCTGAGGCCGACTGTGTCCAGCGATTGGAGGCACAGTGAAGGGCCCCAAGTCTGGAGCAGGGGAGGCCATGGGGAGAGAGATCCGGTCAGGCATCAGTTTTTGGTGTGTAGATGTATTTCATATAAAGTTGATACCGACTTCCAACCCTTTCCCACCCAGCCTTCATTACAAATCTGACTTTCTGCTGTTTCTGCCCTGCCTCCCACTTCCCACCTGTCCCATTTCTTGAGTGGGGACCCAGGCCCCCCAGACCACCTTGTGTCTTGTCTCTTGCTGCAGTCTGGTTGACGTCTGCGGGCTTGAATCGGTGTGGGACTCAACTTCCAGTGCTCAGCCCAGAGCATGAGACCCAGGAGAAGGGGCCCCTGAATGCCTGTGGGACCAGGCAGGCACAGACCCAGGTCCAACACCAGGCCGAGGAGCAGGAGCTGGGCTGTGTCCTGTGGGTGCGGGGGAGGGACCTGGGGGGTCTTAGACAGGTAGGTGGTAGTCTGAGGGGCTCAACACATTCCTCTGTGG